AAGTCCTTGGACCCCTGCACCCACGTGGGAGACCTGGAAGAAGCTCCTGGCTCCTGGCTTCAGATCTGCGCTGCTCTGGCCATTGCGACCATCTGGGGAGTGAACCAGCGAATGGAAGACCTCTGTCTCTACCTCTCCTCCTTGTGCCACTCTTACTTCCAAATAAATAAATAAATATTTAAAATAAAAATAAGATAAAATGTAACAGTTTAATCGGCAATATTCCTTTTATTATACACAGCTTTCAGTTAGTCCTGGCAGCTTCTCTTTTTACTATTTTTCTTTTCCTCTCTCCTTTATGACTTGATGGCCCTGCTAGCAAAGGAGCCTCACTTGTTTTTACAAAGATACTTCTGTTGAAAGGTTTTCAGGCCTGATGAGTCTACAGATAGTTTCTTCTAGATGCAATTAAACTGTTGAGTCAAACAGAGTCTAATGCATTTGATTTCTGGTTTCTATGATAGCATACGTCTCCCTAAGCAGAGTGGAAACTCAAGGTCAGTTGCAGTTAATCGTAGCAGGATTTGAACTTCAAAAAAATGGAAATGGAAGGTTTTCACAGAGAGCCTTTAGATCTGTTTGCATCCTTTCCAAGGCTTAAAGGCTTTTATTTTTCTATGTCAGGGTAGATGAAATCATTACTCAGTCATATCCTAAGGGGGTAAGAATTTAGCTAATACCCATTTTAAAACATTTCCTTTTCTTAACATGTATATTCCTCAGTGGATTTTGTGAGGATTACTGAGTTCTTGTTTTTGTTTTGTTTTTCATGTCTCCTTTTTGTAAAATAGGCCAGACTCCACGGAGGAAAATATTCAATAAAATACTTGTCTAAAGTGTAAAGTTTAAAAGACATCTGGTTAAGAAAGTTAGACAAGGGGAAAAGGGAGGAAATGACTTATACATCAAGGCTCCTGTGTTCAAATATGCCCACTCACTTTGTGGATGAAGACTTCCTGGCAGATCCATTAGGCCTGGATCACAGAGGGCTCTGAGCCAGGTTGCCTGGATTCAAGACCTGGTTCTTCCTCTCACTGACTGAACCATGTTGGTCAAGTTAAATAATTTATCTTTATTTCCATGTCCCCAGTGGTACTGGTGATAGGAAAAATCACCTCTTTTATAGGTTTGATGTAAGGATAATTCAAGTTAATAATTATAAAACACTTAGTAGCTGATGTATGAGCAAGTACTATATAAGTGTAATATAAAATATACATTTTAAAATATACTTAGAATCACCACATTTTTAGAAGGGTCATCTTTTTGTAAATGTTAGGAAGATTGAGCTTTAGTCAAAATTTAATTCTAATGTCTGTTAATATGCTTGCATGGGCAAGTATATTGTCTCGTACTTTAATAAAAATACCAAAGTATTTTATAGTAAAAAATATTAAGGGCTTCCTGGATTTTAATACAATACAAGTTGCTAATAATTTAAGGATGAATAAGGCCTGAATTTCTATAATGGAACATTGCAGTTAACAGATTGAAACAAGGATCATTTAAAAACAGTATGCAGTTGCAGTAGCAAGAATTTTTCTGAAAATCCCTGGTAAGAGTACCAAATCCAGGAGTGTGTGTGTTGGACAAATAGGTCAAAGAAACCTCATTGCAACTGGTGTGTAAAAATCAACCTGGCCCTGAAAAGGGAAATGGAATTCCAGACAGAAGAAGATAATTTCCCTGTGATCTTAAGACAAAGTAAGGCATACAAGTTCAGCATTGTAGGAGTTTAAGAAGGAAGTAAGACGTCTATTGTTCGAGGAACATTATCCTTTGCTAACAGTTTTTACAAATGATCTCTTCATATAAGGCTATATGTTGTATTTGAAGAGCTAGTCAGCAAGAAGGAACCCTAATGGCTAGGGTCCACACTAGATCCTACAGGTTTGACATATCTTGGTGGGTCATTCTTGATTCTGAGACCCGACTCAAACTATGAAGTAAAGGACACGGTTTTATCATTTTTCTCACAGACGAGCTGAGTGTCAGTGTTGACAAAATATTAGCAGATACAAAAGAAGCTGATTTTCACAAGATAACATATTATGAATACACACAGGACTCTAAATCCTACCTGATAGTCTACAGACCAAATGCTCACAGAGGCTCCCATCTCTACTCCATTGGCCAGTCCCATTTAGGAAATCAAATTGGAGAATGCAGTGTTGATTGGCAAATGTCAAAACTGTGCAAAGATCATCCATATTCTTGGGGGATTCTTCCAACTACCTAGAGTAGTGGACACACCAGTAATTTTCTTTTTTTATTTTTTTAACTTTTATTTAATAATATAAATTTCCAAAGTACAGCTTATGGATTACAATGCCTCCCCCCCCATAACTTCCCTCCCACCCGCAACCCTCCCCTTTCCCTCTCCCTCCCCCCTTCCATTCACATCAAGATTCATTTTCAATTCTCTTTATATACAGAAGATCAGTTTAGCATACATTAAGTAAATATTTCAACAATTTGCACCCACATAGAAACACAAAGTGAAAAATACTGTTTGAGTACTAGTTATAGCATTAAATCACAATGTATAGCACATTAAGGACAGAGATCCTACATGAGGAGTAAGTGCACAGTGACTCCTATTGTTGACTTAACAAATTGACACTCTTGTTTATGGCATCAGTAATCACCCTAGGCTCTTGTCATGAGTTGCCAAGGCTATGGAAGCCTTTTGAGCAAAAACAAAACAAAACAAAACAAAACAAAACAAAACAAAACCAAAAAAACAACCCATGAAAGATCTCCGCGAGTGAGATCCCAGTGGAAAGAACGGGCCATCAAAGAAGGATGTACCTTTCTCTGAAGGGAGGAGAGAACTTCCACTTTGACTACAACCTTGTCTAAATATGATCAGAGTTGGTGAACTCAAAAGGCTTCCATAACCAGTAATTTTCCATCTGCACATATCTCAGCCTTAGTGACACACATTATGAGGGTTAGATGAAGCATCCTCTTCTGGAAACAGCTGAATACAAGCTGTTAATTTATTGATTCTTGGCTCCCTGGTTTTAGAATCTGTGCGGGATTATGAATATTTTCAATATATCCCAATCTCAGGATATTATTACAATATGATTGACTTGGCAACAGCTTTCTTTAGCATCAAATCCATAATTATGTGCATTGTGTTAAAGAAATACTATGATCTTAATTGGATGTGGTGAGTTCCTTTGTTGAAAAAAAAATTACAAAAGCTTTCTTATTACAGATTACTTTTGGTATGTTGCTGTTATTCATCATCTGTTGATTTTGTGAGCTTCCAAATGATGTTTCTTCACTTTATCTGTCAATTTGATCTTTGAAAATTTATATATTTATTAAATAACTTACTAACTGAATAATGCCTTTAAATATACTTTTTAGGGGTAGTCTAAATTGCTAAACATGCATTTCTGGTAAGCAGAGCATTAGGATTAAAGCTAAACAATAAAAATTAAAACAGGATGAGAGAGGAAGTGACTATACTTCATTTAAAAGCTAAAGAAACAGTATTTCTATTCCTTGATTCTTTCTTCTTTGATATATCACCAAGGACAAATTAATAATATAACTTTTTCAACACCTTTAAGTCAATCTCTTGTCATATAAACTCATTAAATAAGTTTCAAGTCTTTTTGATTTTTGTCTTACATTGCATCATCTATCATTGTATTATCTACTGTATGATACAAAATATCATCTGGAAAAAACCAGTTTCCTGTCATCAGATCTCAGATTCTTGGGGAAACAAGATACAATGCACAATATATATATATATTTTTTTAATTTTTAATTAGCTTTTAAAAGATTCAATGTGATTTGTAAGTACATTTCTTAGAACTGAATGATAGTCCCTTCCTCTCTCCCTCCATCCTTCCACTTCTCTCCACCTCCCTTCCTTTTCCCTGTTTTTTAGATAACATATTTTAAATTTACATTACAGTAAAAAGGCTTAATACTTTACTGAATAAGAATTTTAGCAATCAAATAGACTGTAGTTTAATAAGAATACAATGACTATAAACATTAATTGATTGGGAAATGACCATTTCACCTATATACAGTGAATTTTAAAGTAATCACAATCATTAAAACTATAGTAGTATAACACTCTTTACCACTGTTTTCACAAAGTCATAAAACAAAGTTTTACAAAATATATTTGCAACAATACTGATAGACACAGACATTCCTTTCTTTTTTGTTTTGTTTTTAAATTTTAGCTCCCACATATAAGGGAGAATATGTGGCTTTGTCTTTATGGGTCTGGCTTATTTCACTCAACATGATGACCTCCAGTTGTGTCCATTTTGCTTCAATGGTAGAATTTCATGCTTTTTAAAAAATAGCTGAATAATATTTCATTGTGTGTATGTGTGTGTGTATGCATATATATACACACATATGTATACAAACACACACACCCACCCCACATTTTGTTTATCTGTTCAGCTGTTTATCTGTTTATCTGCAATCACCTTGGTTGATTGCAAATTTTGGCTACTGTGAATAGTGCTAATGTAAACCTGGTGGTGCAGGTATCTCTCATACATTGTGTTTAACTCTTTTGGGTATTTACCCAGTAATGAGATTGCCAATTCATATGGCAAGTTTATTTCTAGATTTTTAAGAAATCTCCATGGGGCAGGTGTTGTGGTGTAGCAGGTAATGCTGCTGCAGGCAATGCTGCCATCCCACATGGGTTCCAGTTCGAGTCCTGGCTACTCCCCTTCCGATCCGGCTCTCTGCTAGTGCACCTGGGAGGGCAGCGAAGGATGGCCTAAGTGCTTGGGATCATACTTCCACATGGAAGACCTGGGGGAGGATCCTGGCTTCTAGCTTCAGCCTGGTCCAGCTTTGGCCATTGTGGTCATTTGTGGAATGAACTGGCAGATGGAAGACGGATCTCTCTTTCTTTCTCTCTCTCTTTCTCTCTTTCTCTCCTTCCTTCTCCCTCCCTCCCTTCTTCCCTTCCTTTCTACCTTCCTCCCTACCTCCCTCACTGTAATTCTGACTTTTGAGTAAACAAAATAAATCTTAAAAAAAAGAAATCTCCACACTGTTTTCCACAATGGCTGCCTAGTTTACATTCCTGCCAATGGTGTATAAGTATCCCCCTTTGTCCACATCCTGCCAGGATTTGTTATTCTCTGTGCTTTTGATTTTAGCCATTTTGATGTGGTGAACTGATATCTTATTGTGGTTTTGATTTGCATTTTGTGATGGCCAGTGATGTTGAGCATTTTTTTCATGTATTTGTTTGCCACTTGTATTTCTTCTTTTGAGAGCTATTGAAGTTTTGCCCATTCCTCAACTGGACTTTTTCTTGTTGTTCAGGTTTATAAGTTGCTGATATATTCAGGAATTAATCCTTTGTTTGGATAGGTGGTTTGCAAATAATTTTTCCCATTCTGTTGAATGTCTCTTCACTCTATTGATCATTTTCTTTGCTGTGCAAAAACTTTTGAGTTTGATGTAGTACCATTTGTTGAGTTTTGCTTTTGTTGCTTGTGCTTTGGGGGTCTTGTTCTAGTAGTCATTCCCTACACCAATGTCTTGTAGTTTTCCCATACTTTTTCTTCCAGCAGCTTCATAGCCTCAGGTTTTAAATTTAGGTCCTTGATACATCTTGAACTGATTTTTGTATGTTGTCAGAGGTATGTATCTAATTTCATTCTCCTAAATTTATACGTCCAGTTTTGCCAGCACCACTTGTTGAAGAGATATTATGAATCCACTGTATGGTCTGAGCACTTTTGTCAAAAATCAGCTGGTTTTATGTACGTGGGTTAATTTCTGAGCACTCTATTCTGTTCCATTGATCCATGTATAATGTCTTAATGCCAGTACCATGATGTTTTAATTACTATAGCTTTGAATTATGCTTTCAAGTCAGGTATTATGATGCTTCCAGACTAATTTTTATGGTTCAGAATTGCTTTGGTTATTTTGGGTTTTTTGTGATTCCGTATGAATTTTAGGATTTCTGCTTCTAATTCTGTGAAGAATTTCTTGGTATTTTGAAAGGGATTGCATTGCATTTGTAGACTGCTTTAGGTAGTATAGACATCTTAATGATGTTGATTCTTCTAATCCATGAGCAAAGAATATCTTTCCATTTTTTGTGTCCTTGATGATTTCTTTCATCAGTGTTTTATAATTTTTTTGTAGAGATCTTTCACTTCTTTTGTTAAATCTATTCCTAAATAGTTTGTGTGTGTGTGTGTGTGTGTGTGTGGCTATTTTGAATGGGATTTCTTTCTTGATTTCTCTTTCTGTAATTCATTATTAGCATACAAAAAGCAACTGTTTTTCATATGTTTATTTTACAACCTGAAACTTGACTGAATTGGCTTATCAATTCTAACTGCCTTTTGGTAGAGTGTTTAGGTTTTTCCATGTACAACATCATGCCATCTGCAAACATAGTTAATTTGACTTCATCTTTTCCAATTTTGATGTCCTTTGTTTCTTTCTCCTCCCTAATTGCTCTTGCTAAAACTTCTAGTACTATGTTGAATTAGAGTGGTGAAGGTAGACATCTTTGTATTTTTCTAGATTTGAGGGGAAATGTTTTCAGCTTTTCCCCAGTCAATCTGAAATTGGCTGTTGGTTTGTGTGACTTCAGCACCGCACTCTCATGAATGGACAGATCATCTAGGCAGAAATCAATAAAGATACCTTGGAGTTGAAACATACTATAAAGCAAATGGACTTAACAGACACAGATCATTTCACCCAACAGCTTCAGAATACACATTCTTCTCATTGCTACATGGAATATTTTCTAGGGCAGACCACATATTAAGTCACAGTCAAGTCTCAGCAAATTTAAAACGACTGAACTCATACCATGTATCTCTCAAACCATATAGGAATAAAACTAGAAATAAACAAAAAGAATAGAACACTCATAAATACTTGGGAATTAAACAGTGTTACTTGTGAATTAAATACTAGTAACTGAACAGTTAATGGGAAATTGAAGAAATAAAAAAGGAAATAAAAACTTTTTTGAAATAAATGAAAGTGAAAACATAATATCTAAACTTATGGGACACTGCTAAAGTTATATTAAGAGGAAAGTTTATAGCATTTAGTGCTTACATTAAAAAAAGAAATGTCTCAAATAAAGATCTAATGATACATCTTGACGACTAGAGAAACAACAAATGTAACCCTAAATTTCCAGGAGGAGAGAAATAATAAATATCAGGGCAGAAATAAATGAAATTCAAACTAAAAAAATAATAGAAGGGGAGTTCCAAGATGTTAGAGGAGAGAGGGAGCTTACTGTGCTAATCCTGGAGAAGGTAGCTTTAAAAAAGTGGAGAGAGTGCAGTCTCAGGGAAGAGTTAGGGAGAAAATGGCAGAGGAAACTCTACTGAAATTAGAGGGATGTGGCGGACCTACATGGAGGCTGTGGATGTCCACTACTTGGAATTCCAGCAGTGGAGGGCCTATGCACCTATGTTGGAAAGTGAGGTGAGACCAGACCACAGCAGCCCAAGCCACTGGCAATAAAACCACAGGAAGAGCCTAGAGGGAACCCAGCTTGGAGCCCCATGGAGGATAGTGTACCTGCCAAACTAGAGGAGAAAAAAAAAGATGGACACATTTCTCTCTCTCTTTGTTACTGCATCCTGTAACAAGCTGATAGAGTGGGTGCCATTTTGGACATACATAACAGCTGCACCAGTTCGTGTCTGTGCTCAATAACCAGCTGAATGTAAACTCATGGCTCTGGTGGTAAGAACTAACAGGAGGCTAGGAGCTTGTGACTGGGCCAGGACTGTGAAAAAACTGAGAGTGTGTGGGAGGACTCACGGTGTGGCTGGGACTTTTGGTTGTCATAGTGGGAGACTCCACATACTCAGGGCTTCCTGGTTACCTGGTGAGAGACGTTGCTGGGCAATCTGAAATTACACTGAGGACTGAACAGATCCTTTGTGTGGTCTTTGGGACAGAACGGATGTATATTATACCCACTGGGGCTAGAACTCAGGCACTGGTCTCTTTTGAGGAGGGGAGCTCAGCTGAGCAGAATAAATTTCCGTTCTGATTAAAAAAAAAAAAAAGATTTACTACACCAAACCTGGGTGTGTCAACTTGGGCGTGCCCTTAACCCTGAAGAACTGAAGAGAGCTCCCTGGCCACACCCACTACAAACTTCTAGATATTCACTGAAAGCAGACATTCCACTTATCTTCAGAGTCATAGTATAAAGATAAGAATGCTGAACAACAAACTCAGCAATTCAAGAAACAAGAATAAGGAAAGACATCATGACACCCCCCAAAAGACCTCAACACTTCAATACTAAATTGTAAAAATTATGAACTGGAAGAAATGAAATTCAAAAAATTGATCATAAGATTATATAGAAGTAATCAGAAGCAAATGCACAAACTACTGAAATCCATATAGGACATGAAAGAAAATTTCTCCCATGAAAATGAGATCTTAAAGAGAAATCAAAATGAAGTGAAGAATTCAGTAGAACAAATAAAAAATGCAATGGAGAACCTTGACAACAGAATCAGTGAAGCAGAAGAAAGTGTATCGGACTTAGAAGACAAAGCACAGGATATTATACAGTCATACCAAAGACAAGAAGAGGAAATTAGAAAACTAAAAAACACTGTTGGGAATCTACAGGTTATTATCAAATGGCCCAACATATGGGCTCTAGGAGTTTCTGGAGGTGTGGAAAGAGAGAAATGATAGGAAGGCCTGTTTAGTGAAATAATAACAGAAAACTTCCCTAATTTGGAGAAAAAAAAAAAAAAACTGGTGACATCCAAGTACAGGAAGCACATAGAATTCTAACAGACATGACCAGAAAAGACATTTACCATGACACATTGTAATCAAATTCATCACTGTAAAACATAAAGAGAAGATTCTAAAGTTGCACAAGAGAAAAGCCAGATTACTTTCAGAGGATTTCCAGGAAGACTCACAGTTGACATCTCATCAGAAACCCTACAGGCTAGGAGAGAATGGCAAGATATAGTCTAAGTACCAAGAGAAAAAAAATTGTCAACCCAAAATATTATACCTTGCAAAGCTCTGATTTATGAATGAAGGTGAAATAAAGACCTTCCATAACAGAAATTGAAAGAATTTGTCACCACCTATCCAACTCTACAAAAGATGCCAAAGGATGTACTGCACACAGAAGTACAGAAACATGGCCGGCGCTGCGGCTCACTAGGCTAATCCTCCGCCTTGCGGTGCCGGCACTCCAGGTTCTAGTCCCAGTTGGGGTGCCGGATTCTGTCCTGGTTGCCCCTCTTCCAGGTCAGCTCTCTGCTGTGGCCAGGGAGTGCAGTGGAGGATGGCCCAAGTACTTGGGCCCTGCACCCCATGGGAGACCAGGAGAAGTACCTGGCTCCTGCCATCAGATCAGCATGGTGTGCCGGCGCAGCGTGCTGGCCGTGGCGGCCATTGGTGGGTGAACCAACTGCAAAAGAAAGACCTTTCTCTCTGTCTCTCTCTCTCATTGTCCACTCTGCCTGTCCAAAAAAAAAAAAAAAAAAGTACAGAAACATGGTTATCACTACGAAAGAAGATAAAGGAAGAAAATCTCTCAATAAAAGTTAAAAGGAAATTCCAAGTGAAAAATAGGAATATTTTTGAAAAAATGGCAGGGCAAAGTCATTACTTATCAATAGTCACCTTGAAAGTTAATGGCCTCAACTCTCCAGTTAAAAGACACAGACTGGCTGAATGGATTAAAAGACAAATCTCATCTATTGGCTGCCTACAAGAAACATCTCACCAACAGATACATGCAGACCAAAAGTGAAAGCATGGAGCTGGCGCTGTGGCTCACTAGGTTAGTCTTCTACCTGCAGTGCAGGCATCCCATATGGCCACTGGGTTCTAGTCCCAGTGGCTCCTCTTCTAGTCCAGCTCTCTGCTGTGGCCTGGGAAGGCAATGGAGGATGGCCCAAGTGCTTGGGCACCTGCATCCGCATGGGAGACCAGGAAGAAGTACTTGGCTCCTGGCTTCGGATCAGCACAGCACCAGCGTGGCGGCCATTTGGGGAGTGAACCAATGGAAGGAAGACCTTTCTCTTTGTCTCTGTCTTTCTCAATGTCTAACTCTGTCAAATAAATTCTTTTTAAAAAAGTGAAAGCGTGAAAAAGATATTCCATGCCAACAGAAACAAAAAAAGAGCTGGTGTAGCCACCTTAATATCAGATAAAATAGACTTTAACACAAAAAACTATTAAAATAGACAAAGAAAGGCACTATATAATGATTAAGGGATTAATTCAACAGGAAGATGTAGCTATTATAAACATATATGCACCTAATTACAGGGCACCTGGCTATTTAAAAGAAATTGTAAGAGATTTAAAGGGAGACTTAGACTCTAATACAATAGAAATAGGGGACTTCAGTACCACACTTTCAGCAATGGTAGCTCAACCAGACAGAAAATAAGCAAGGCAACACTAGATTTAGTTGACACTGTAGACCAAATGGACCTAACAGATATCTACAGAACTTCTCATCCTACAGTTGGAGAATACACATACTTCTCAGCAGTGCATGGAACTTTCTCTAGGATTGCCCACATGCTAGGCCATAAAGCAAATTTCAGAAAATTCAAAAATATTGAAATCATACCATATACCTTCTCAGACCACAATGGAATGAAGCTGGAAATCAGCAACTCAGGAATCTGTAGAACATATACAAACACATGGAGACTGAACAACATGCTCTTGAATGAACATTGGGTCATGGAAGAAATCAAAAAATTTCTGGAAACAAATGAAGACAACAACACCACATATCCAAACTTATGGGATACAGCAAAAGCAGTGTTAAGGAGAAAGTTTATAGCACTTGGTACTTCATCAAGAAATTGGAAAGGCACCAAATAAATGAGCTGTCATTACATCTCAAGGATCTAGAAAAACAACAGCAAACCAAACCCAAAACTAGTAGGAGAAAAAAAATAATTAAAATTAGAGAAGAACTCAATAAAATTGTTTCCAAAAAACAATACAAAATATCAGAAAAATGAAGAGCTGTTTTTTTGAAAATAAATAAATAAATAAAATTGACACACCATTGGCCCAGCTAACCAAAAAGGAGAGAGAAGACACAAATCAATAAAATTAGAAATGAAAAAGGAAATGTAATAGCAGACACCACAGAAATAAAAGGAATCATCAGAAAGAGGATTACAGACCAATTTCCCTGATAAACATAGACAAAAATACTCAATGAAATTCTGGCTAATCGAATTCAACAACACTTCAGAAAAATCATCCACCCAGACCAGGTGGGATTTATCCCCGGTATGAAGGGATGGCTCAACATTTGCTAATCAATCCATGTGATACATCACATTAACAAACTGCAGAAAAAAACCATATGATTATCTCAATAGACATAGAGAAATAATTTGATAAAATACAGCACCTTTTCATGATGAAAACTCTAAGCAAATAGGGTCTAGAAGGAACATTCCTTAACACAATCAAGGCAATTTATGACAAACCCACCTACAGAGTCCTATTGAATGGGGAAGAGTTGAAGCATTCCCCCTGAGATCTTGTACCTGACAGGGATGCCCACTCTCACCATTGCTATTCAATATAGTCCTGGAAATTTTAGCCAGAGCCATTAGGCA